CCACTGAAAGAAACGATTTCAACCGTCATTCTTTAAGTCAATGTGATAATCAAAATAATGACTTCGAGAAACAAGGTGTGCGCCAGAGAGTACCATGCAGTGCATGGGAGAGAGAATGAAAAAGGGGAGACAGTGACAGGCAGCGACAGAGGCAGCGATGGGGGTAAAAAGACAGACAGAGATAGAGAGTAATAGAGTTATAGTAAGAGAGATAGAAATATATATATATATTTATATATTGAGAGAGGGAAGAGAGTGGGGAGAAGAGGAGAAGTGGAGAAAGAGAAGAAAGATAGAGGTTGCAGAATAGAGACTATGGATATTCCATGCGGCACCTCGTGCTATATCTTACCGCAGCCGTGCCAAAGCGTTCTCTGTGAGGACTGCTTAGTGTGAAGCTCTGAAGTCTGCATTGTTCCCCACAGCATGGCGATCGACTACTACAGCATCTCGCCATCTTCCAGCAACGGATGCTATGCCCTGATTTTGATGCACTATTACTTATCTTGCAGGCTCTTTCTCCTACTTCTGCTCCTACTCCTTTTCTTGTTTCTGCTCCTCCCCCTCCGCCTCCTCCTCTTACTTCTTCTGCTTCAACTCTTCCTCCTCTTTCTTTACGTCCTCCTGATTCTTCTCCTCTTCCTCTTCCTCCTTCTCCTCTTTCTTCTTCTATCCCTTCTTCTCGCCTCCTCCTCCTACTATTTCTCCTGTTTCTTCTGATGTTGCTATTCTTGCTTCTCCTTATTCCTTCTTTCTTTCCCGGTGAAGACGCTGTCGCCGGTGATGATGACGACGATAATGATGATGCCGAAGAACGGATCCTAAACGAGGAAAATTAGGAATTCTTACGTTATGTTCAATGTAAGATAATGATGGTCGTGCAACAGTAATGAGTTATTGGTACGTTCCATATAAAGGAAAGCGTTTCCGTGCAGTAGAAGTTCATAATGAGTTGCACGAAAGGAACGCGTATATGCTCCTACATTCGTACGGCGCACCACGCCCCCTTATCAATAGTCTATGTCACGATATCCTATCCGCGTTGTATTCTATTCTTTTACAC